GTGAGTTTGCTGGCACCAACTTTTTGGGGGCTTTCAGATTATTTGCCAATTTTCTCCTTGAAATCATCTTTTCTTCTGGTTTTTGTAACACTGCTCTGTCCTCATTTTCCTCCTCCCTCTCCACCTGCCCTTTTACATTCCATACAAGCCCTTCCTCCTGTTGCCTTAAACGCCAACAATCTCAGGGCCCTGGTTTAGACCCTCTTCTCTTCTCCCCATTCCACATAATCCTCCTGAGCAGTCTTTTGAGTCCCAGCTATATGCTGTTATAAAGGAGAAAAGCTTTTCCCTTCCACCCTTCTGAGTTCTTTGGTGGATCTAGTAACTAAATTGACCTAAGACAGATTAACAAGAGAAAAGCAAATTTAATTTTCTATGTAAGGGAGCCCATAAAAATACAAGATTCAAAGAGGAGACCAAAGCAGGCAGCTTTGTCACACTTTTCAGACAAGGAAGTAATACATTTGTGAAAAATTAGCAAGACAAAAGGGTTTGGAGTTGGTGTAGCAAATTAGTGAACAAGTAACAAGGTTTGCTAAATGGCCCTCTCCGACCCGAATTCCCGCTCTCTGGTGATAAGGATGCCTCTAGCCTTCTGGGACAGGGATGGTACCTTTCATGTGGCAGGTTTATTTCCTCTTTTCAGGGAACAAAGGAAGGTCAGAGTGTCCTTTTCACACTGGCTGTTTCTTGAGTAACTTTAATTCAAAACAATCAATTTGCCAAAGCGACATAATTCGGGTGGCCTATTCTGGAGTCCTTCACTGCTTCTGTCCATGACAGCTCCATGGCACATCAGGGACTTGTTGAATTGTGCAGAAGCTCAAGATGGTAGGGTTCTGATGTATTTTTCTTTCTCCCTTTTATCCTTGAACTGAACCAGGCTGTTTTTATTCTTAAAATCATACTCCTCATTTTGTAAACTTATGAAAACACAGGAAGTTATAAGTAAACAAATAGAAATTGCCTACAATCCAGAGACAACCACTGTTAATATTTTGGCTAGTTAAGAGAATTCTTTTACTATGCTGATTTCCATCACTATCCTCTCTCACTGTAAGTTTTTGTTCATAAACTCATTATATTACTACTTTATTTCCCACCTTCTTTTCTATGTGTTGTCCACTGCCCCAGACAATGCCTAGCACACAGGAGGTGCTCAGTAAGTCTTTGCTGAATAATGAGTCTCTCTTTACATATACAACAGAGTTGAGATTGTATATAGACAGTCTCAGGTTTTTCTTCATTTAGCATTATATTCCATCTTGCCACTGACTTAAGCATTTTTCGGTCATCTGGGATGACAAGTATGTTCTTTTATGAACTAAGAGAATCCTCAAGGGTCTATCATTACTTCTTCACTGAAGATGAACACTTCAGACCTCCAGGTTTATTAGAGTAAATCAAGAGCAAAGCTTTGGGAACTCTAAACTTTACTCGCTGGTAGATGCTGACACTATTCTCAACCCTCACAATTCTTAGCTTCTCTTAGTAGAGAGAATCTTAAACTTGCTTTACCCAGGAAAGAAAGGCAACCTCCCCTTTGAAATCTTCCAAGAGATACTATTAGATCCTTTAAAAACTCTTGCTGAAATAGTGTGGTACTGTCCTCGGGAAATAGAGGCATGCTGACACCAGAGTTCATGTCCGGAGACCCCGAGAATAGATGCTACCATTTCTAAACTTTAACCCCAAATGGGAAGAAAGTGGTCAGGTGGGAAGGTGTGGCTGAGTGAAAGGTGAGCCGAAACTGTAACAGAGGTGGGAGAAGGGGTAAGGACAGAGAAATGGAAAAGGTGCACTGAAAGGAGCATGGGCTCAGGAAATAGACCAGAGATCCCATCCCATTGCCCCGTCACCAAATGTGGGACTTTGAGATGCTTAGAACTTCGGGTCTCAATTTACTCATCTTTAAAAAAAGTAATTACCAATAGATAATAGTAATTACGATTAGGCCTTTCAAGAGGTCCGTGCTCAGAAACTCTGGAAAGGTACACATGAGAAGCACAGTATCCCAGGATCTGAAAGTGGCTGCTAAAAAGAAGTGGCCCCAGGGGCGCCTGGGTGGCTCAGTGTGTTAAAACCTCTGCCTTCGGCTCAGGTTATGATCCCAGGGTTCTGGGATCGAGCCCCGCATCGGGCTCTCTGCTTGGCGGGGAGCCTACTTCCCCCTCTCTCTCTGCCTGCCACTCTGCCTACTTACGATCCCTGTCAAATAAATAAAAAAATAAATAAATAAAAAATTAAATAAATCTTTAAAAAAATAAATAAATAAAAGGAAGTGGCCTCACTGGAATTAACAGGAGAGGCTACATTGACTTTGGATGACAACAGCCAAAGATTTTATTAAGTAAATTCAAAATATAAATATGTCACCAATATTGACACTGTGAGTTATTAACTCATCTCTGCTCTGAGGGTCCTTGGCACTATTTGAGTTGTGGAACTCTTCCGTGCTTGTTTCTATACCCTAAACTATCCCCAGATTTACCCCCCTGGGGTAAAAAGAAAATTAAAGGGAAGACAGACTGGTGAAAAAATTATTTAAAAAGATACCAAAGTATAAAGAAAGGCAAAGTGATGCTGTAAATCCAAATTAAAACTAGACCAGAATATTTACATATTTTATTAAATCTTTACAATCAGTAATTATAATCAAATACACAATTATATACAAGGATTATATACATTTTGCCCAGACTTTTACATCACAGTACATAGTTTCCCTTAGAAATATTGTATACATTTATCACCAAACAACAAAATCCAACAACAGTAGTGTTACAGCACCTGTTAGTACAGACATCTTTTTCATAAATTACATCATAAGAAAATATACGGCTGTAAATTGGGCTTTTAAAAATGTCTTTTATAAAATCTGAACATACAATATTTCATTCACAGAATGTTTTTTTTTCTATGTTCTGACTGAAGCCTTGTGCATAAAACGACCGGTTGGAATATTTACTAAATCAGCTCCCCCCCAACCCCCCACTTCCAAAATTATAAGCACTATCTGAATTACTTATGCTGAGCTTCCTTTATGATGAATCTGGCATGGGGTTTGGTGAGAGAACAAATGCTGGTTTCATTGTTAAAAGGGCTATGATGGTAATTTAAATTTTTAAAAAATTCTCAAAAGAATAATTAGAAATTAAACCAGAGAGCGCACAATTTTTCATTTTACTCTCTAATACTGTGAAGAAAAAGGGGAAAGTATAATGTCAAAAAACAATTTGTTCTGAAACAACAGTTATATTCTTGTTGGAAGCCTATTAAAGGTTAAAAAGAAAAAAAACAAAACCTACCCAACAAAATATCCCATCCTAAACATATCCAGTAAATTAAAATTCTGTCACAACTACTTTATGGGAAAATTATTGCAAATTAGGGTGTATCATTTTAATAGACTTTCATAAGCAGAAAAAGCTACAGCTATTTTTTAGTTAGGTAAACAAGTTAAGTTTTAAAACTTGAAAATACCTGAATTAAATACTTGCTCTAATATCTAGCTTTTCACTTTCAGATAAAATCCTTACTTGATTGCAGGTTTGTAAACATTGTATAAATCCTTCTTAGTCCAACAATTTTATGGCTGTGGTGATCACTTCAGCTCTGTTTCTATGCAGTCAACATTTAACTGAGGTAGACCAGATGTTTCTAAAATTCAGGGTCTCATAGAATCCCCTGAATATTTAGGAAGTAAATAAAACGTCTATCAAAGGTATTTAAAAAACAAAACATTAAAAAAAAAACACCTAATGCTGTTGGAATTTTTTAATGAACTCAAAAAACAACTTCATGGCAGTACGTCAAATAAGAATGTGTTGTTAATGATAACGTTGGGAGTTCTGAAGCTGAACATTACACCTTCTCAAATAGGGAAAAATCAAATATGATTCCTTCTGGGTGTTAAGTATAACTTGTTAAAATTTTTTTTTTTTTAAAGGATTCACTTTTACAAAAAAAGCGAACAATCTGCTTCTAGACTTCAATGAATGGCAACAACTCCCCCTAATGGCCAACGGCAGGGAAAGTAATAAGGGGGCTCTCGTATACCTTGAGATCTTTGCTGGGGGAAAAAAAAACACGTTGTTTTGTTAACTTAGAAAAGTTGAATTTAGACAACAGTGGCTCTGAGCTACAAATACAAAATCAAATCAATGTATATAAGGCTTCTGTAATCAAAGTCTTAGAGGAACATCTGCTCCTTTTCTCCAAGCCCCAGTCCTATAAATCAAGGCAAGTCAAGTAATTAAGCTTCAGCTATTTTGGCAGCTTTGCAATTAATATGAACAAAGCACTAAGTCTATCCTTCCGTATACTGTATGTATTATAGTTCTATCTTCTTACACCAAATTTCACATGCAGAAAGACTAAAATATCCATTTTAGTGTCAGGTTTAGTTAAGGGCCAGTAAAGGTCTTATACTACTACTCTTCCCCACCCTCCCCCTAAAACGTGAATTCTCTATTAGTTTTATTATTCATTGACCCAATTATATTTAGCTGGAATTTTTGAAAGCAGCTATTTATCCCCTTAGAAAAGATTATGTTTACTTGGGATCTAAGACATACTGTACACGAATATACATAACTACAATACAGCACTGCTCTCCTTTTAACAGCTCCCTATACAGTTTAAGTTCATCAGTACCTCAAAACTGTGTTTTAAGAAAAGATTATTATGTAATGTCACGGTAAAGAGAAAGAAAATTAAGTCTCACAAATACTCCTTTAGAACTGATTTAGTAAGTTTAAAAAAATAAATAAAATGAATAAAACCATGATTTCAACTACAGGGCTGTCTACAGGGTATCAACAACAGATTTTAAAACTTAAATGCGGCCAGCACCAGACTGCCACCAAAAAAAAAAAAAAGGTGGGGGGGGGGGGAATAAATTCTCATTAAGCTATATGGCTATATGTTAGTTGCCACTGTGTATGTTTCTTACACAGGTTACCATAGATTACTTTTCAAGTCCATATCAAAAGGAATATCTGTTAAAAAAAAAAAAAAGTAAAAAAAAAAACAAACTCAAAAACCATGATTCAAACAGAAAATGTGACAGATTCCTTAGGTGCATCTTTAGAAACCATAGTTTCAAAGAAGAAAAATAGTAGTTTCCCTAGGATTTTTAGATCACTACCACAGTTTCATTATGGCTCCCTAAAATAGAAAAATGGAACAAAATGTATTCAGCTATTGGCGGTATGGCCCTTGTGGCTCAAATTGCATACTAAACATGGGATGGAGTAATAAGGCTGATGGCTAGAGGTAATCACCTCTAAGAGAAATGAACAGGAAAAGATTTATAATTTACCCGACAAGGATAGAACTTTAAGTTCCATTTCAGAGTAGTCATGGCTCTCCCTACGGAAGGCCCAATGGCAAGTTCATATTACATTATAGTTTCTCCCTTGTTCCATTTTTCCTAAGTATTAAGTAACCAATTTCCATAATATATGACCTTTTTACCTGGTCCCAATGATTAACCTTTATGCAGAGAACTCACTGAGAAAGTACACTGGGTTCACCTTTAGTTTAAACAAAAAGGACACTGTTAAGAGAGGAAAAAAATCAAGACATCTTGATCATTTGTTTCACGATGAAGCAAGTGGAAGTGATGAGCAAAGCCCATTTTCATCATAAACGCATCTGCTTCATAACCACTTGGGTCACTTGAGTGTTTTTGTGAAGGCAGCAAAACCAGAATGCCCACAATATCATACGTATTTTCCCAAAAGAGCCTCTAACCCCCAAAACGAGTAAAGTCAAGCTTCCCTTAACTAGAAAGCTAACAAATTCCTATTCTCCACTCCACCATCAACTGAATTTGTTTCTTGTCTATCCAGAGACTGCACAGAAATCTGGCTCCTAGGAATGCCCAGCAATCTTTTCCTGGCCTGAAGTGCTGCAGGGTGGTGTGATGCTGTCACAGGGTGGGAGTCAGGGTGGGGGAGGGACTGTGAGTTTCCATTTTGGATGGGACGGTTTTAAGCAAGGTCAGTTCTAACACAGCATGCTCCAGATTCCTATGACCACTATCTCAGTCAGAACGTGGTTACTCATCACCATACTTAAAGACTCCCACTAGAGAGCCTGCTTAGTATCAGGGTGTCTGTGAACCACAGTTTGCCTTTTCTTTTTAAATACCTACCACCAGATTCTTTAGTGAGTCATAGTTCATCTTTCTCCATCATTTCAAATGCTTCTATATCTTCATTCCAGTCTGCTAATATGGAGTCTATAGGCTGGACCTTTTTACCCCAGCTAACATTAGGATTGGAATCTTCCTCAGTTTCTGATTGTTCCTGGAGTTGGTTATCTAAATCTGAACATTCACCATCAAGACTTGTAGTCTCATGGTTCTCCATGGGGTTAGAATTCTGTTCAGAAGCAGAAACGCTTGCAGCATTGTCCGTATCTGCTGGAGATGATGATTCTGGTTCTGAGTTTAGAGAACTTTCCTCAGGAGACTCTTGTTCAACCAAACCAACCTCCTGAGAACTTGGCGTAATCTCTTCAGCACTCTGATCCTGAGAATCGTTTTCAGAGGATGGTTGTTCTTCACTTTCCATTTCAGGATCTGCATGTGAAAGAAACAGGCTTCATGCTACTTTCCCACTCAAAATATTTACTACGGCAGTTTTAAGAGCATACTGGTTTTCACAATAAAATAAAGAAATAAAAGAAAAAGAAAAGCACATTAATGCAAAACAGAAAATATTAACATTGAAGGGTAAAAGTACTGCCTTCGAATAATAATGTAATCACATTTTTCCTTTATATGCATTTTGCAAAATTTGACAGTACAAATTAATATTCTCCCAAACTGAAAGGATGACTCTAGTCATCCATCTAGACTGCCTTCAATGGGGGTCAGTTATGCCAAGAAATACACTAAATAATACTGCTAAAATGCATACAAATTTGCACTACATGTCTAAAACTTATTATTAAATATCTAAATTCAGAAAAGCTTGTACATGAGAACACATGAGACAGAATAAATTTTGAACAGCACTTATCACTGTTTTAAGATAATATTCTTTTGAAAAGTGAAATTCCACTCAGTAAGCCATGAAAATGCAGATAATTCAAAACTATGGATTTGAGGGTACTAATGTGGTTAGATAAAGTATTTTCACAAAGACAAGCAAGAACTGAGATTATTTATTGTATTTCATTATTGTAGGTCCATGAATTAAAAGGTATCATTTAAAAATCCACTGGGAGGCTGAAGAGGAGATTAAACCTCTTGTACTGAAGATACAGTGAAACTGCTAGAGGCCTTCTGTTCAGGGCTCCCACAAGACAGTGTGTGACTCACACTGATGGCCCCTGCCGTGTGCTCCCCGTCTCTGCAGGCAGTGAGTTCGTGGGTCCTCAGGGGCCCCTCTGAGTGCGGCAGGCACTGTGCAAGGTGATAACGTGAGGCAAAAGCCCTAATGCATCTTTTAATCCAGGTGGGGAAAACATTTACAAATAATTACACAAAATCAATAGAAAAGCGTAACTATGACATGTTTTATGTTGCTAGGAAAGCTTACAAAGAATAGGAAAGAGTAAGGAGAGCCGAGGGTTTCCTTCAGAAAGTGACACTGAGCTGAGATTTAAAAGGTAAGTAGAGTTAATGAGTCAAGGAAGGAAGGGAAGACGGACATACTATAAAGCCAGAAAAACTAAAGGAAACAGGCATTCGGGAAGGTACAGACAGGTGTGTTTATGTATACCCTGATGAAGGATTCCCTGACTAGGAAGTTTAAGTTCTTGGGGGCTGGGGGGTCCCCACACTCTCTCTCTTCAAAGCTGTGGAAAAGGTATACTTTAATTCAACAATTAGGAAAATCACGGTGGGGACCAAAGAAGAGAAAACAGGAGCTGGCCACGCACTTACAATAGGCTACCCTAAGTTCAAGGGAAAACAAAAAGAAAAACCTTCAGGGTTTTTTTCTAGATTGTATTAATCTGGTTTAGAAGAATAGGAAAAGATGTAGTACTGTCTGGTCTAGTAATAAAAATTGTGCTTTTGGCAAAAAATTACCCTACGGATACAGATTACGCAATACATTATGGAAATCTAGCTAAAACAATAGGATAAGAAAACAGAAGTCGGTATAAATATAGGAAAAGAATAGATCAAATTGTATTTTTAGACTGTGTTGTATATTTAAACTCAAAGCAACTCTAAATTTTTAAAAATAACATTAAGATAACATAAGAACTTGAAAAGGAGGGTAAAAATAAAATAGGCAAATAACCTCTCTATAGTAAAAACTAGTTAGAAATAAAGTTAAGTACCCTTTTCATAATAAAAATAAAAACTATAAAATAATTAAATTTACTATGAAAGGTATGAGACCTACATTACTTAATACCATAAAATGTTAATAAAAACATACAATAAGACCTGATTACATTTACAGATAGTAAAACTTTCTACTTATATGTAAAGCATACAATTATACAATTCCAAAATGAACCCCATTTCTACTTTTTTTTTGTTTTCTTTTGGGACCAGATAGAATTATTTGGAAGTTCTTACGGATGAATATACATGGAAAAGAAGTCAAGAAATTTTGAAAAGAATTAGTGAGAAGGGAGTTGCCTTATCAGGTATCAAAATACATTCAAAGCAAACTTTTTTATTGGCACAGGGGTAAACAAACAGATTAGTTGAAAAGAAGAGCAAGTCTTTCCAGACTTTCCAGACAGAGAAAATATGTAAGACTATCTGACAGATAGCAAAGCCGCAGCGATCAGGAGTGTAAAGATGGCAGCTGAAGAAACAGAAAAGGCAAGGAAGGAGTTAGTGTCGGTGTCGCACTGTCTCACGGCCTTATTCTACGGGGCGGGTCAGGATCCTGTAGGGAGCAGCCGAGTCCTCAGAGCATTAACAACTACATCATTAAATTCTGGAATGGTGTATCAGAAACACACACAAAAAAATGAAGAAAATCTCAAGATACAATGACAAGAAAATGATTAAGTTTTAATAATAAAAGAACAAGGGAGCCTTGGCAAAGACTTGAGACTGGATGTTCTACAATCATTGATACGTCTGTCTGGCCAACATTTGCTGCAAGCACGGATTATAGAGATGAGAGCAGGTAAAGCAGCAGGATTTAATATGAATGTCAAAGTAGAACGATATTAAAAAGACCCTTGGAGCGCCTCGGTGGCACAGTCCTTTAAGTGTCTGACTCTTGGTTTTGGCTCAGGTCATGATCTCAGGGTCCTGAGATCAAGCCCCATGTCCGGCTCTGCACTCAGCAAGGAATCTGCTTAAGACTCTCTCTCCCTGGGGTGCCTGGGTGGCTCAGTGGGTTAAAGCCTCTGCCTTCAGCTCAGGTCATGATCTTAGGGTCCTGGGATTGAGCTCCACATCGGGCTCTCTGCTCAGCAGGGAGCCTGCTTTCCTTCCTCTCTCTGCCTGCCTCTCTGCCTACCTGTGATCTCTCAGTCAAATAAATAAATAAAATCTTAAAAAAAAAAAAAAAAAAGACCCTCTCTCCCTCTCCTGCTGCCCCTCCCCATTCTCTCTCTCTCAAGTAAATAAATAAATCTTAAAAAAAAAAAAAGACACCCTTACATTTCACCTATGAGAATAAGAGAAAATTCCATTAAGAAGGTGGTATTTAAATGGGTGTGCAGGATGCTAAATGTCCTCAAGAAGAAATGGGCCATGGGCGTGCAGATAGGGATGGATAAGCATCTCAGAAAAAGGAAGAGATGTACAAATACAAAAATGCATGAGAAAACATGTCTGGCTATAGAAGGGTGCAGGTAAGTATCAATTTGGCTTAACAAGAATGCTTCAGAAGCTCCTTTCCAGGCAGAGGTCTTCTGCGTACATATTAAATTTTGCAGTTCAACTTTAGGGCAGATTCACCCCAATCAAGTTCAATGCGTGATAATCTTAGGAAAAGTAACACTGCTAGACTTAAATCTTGAGCAGTTCAAACCATGGGACCTTTCTTTTCTTTCCTCCATTTTCTCTGTCCGCCTCTGTATCAGGTAGATATACATATAGGAGCAGGACTGAAAACATCAGTAGGTACCATAGACCTACACTGTAAACTGAAAGCATGATAATGTATGGAACCTTCAAAATGCTGATTCATTTCCCCTTTAAAATACTATTGAGAAAAGGAAATGGATTCTTAATTATAAACTATCTATTTGGAGCTAAATGTAACAGCACAGTGTCATTTGTTGGTGAGCACAGGGTTAGAATAATTCTTAAAATTTGGAAAGGTGGGACACAAGAGAGACAAGATATTAGAACTTCCGTGGCGAGCTCAACTATTAGAAGTAGGACTGGTCTGACCTGAGGAAGCAATATTTCCACTTCATAAATTATTAATGCTTTACTTCTGAAGAAGAATGTGTAATAAGATATCTTTTTGCTAACAGACAAGACTATTGCAGATATTTCTGTATTAACCGCTGGAACTTCTCATCGGAATAAGAAAGCGAGAGTGGGAGTATGGGTTTGTTCTGGGGCTTTGGGCTTCTATTTTCTGTATCAACATGTGGGATGAACTGCTCAATTAAAACTGTGCGACTTTATAAAGGAAGTATGAATTTGTGGAACGAGATTTTTTAAAGAGCAATCTGGAGGACACGTTAATGCACAGATTTTAAGGATGCTAATTACTGGGGGTACTTATATAATCCTACCTAGCCCCCTTGATGGTATAACATGGTTCATACATAACTGGGAGACTAAAAAAAAGGAAGAAAAGGTGCCTTCTTAGTGTTGTTCAATGCTTCTCAAAGTGTAGCTGAGTGGAATTACCTGGGATGCTTATTTACAATTTCAGATTCTAGTCCCCTGCCTTCCGAGAGTCTGATTCAATATTCTGGAGTAAGACTTAGGAATCTACACTTGTAACAACAGCATCAGCATCCGCTGATGCAGAAGAGAAATGCAGGCATGCGGTAATGGCGCAGGACAAATTAATGACAACACTAGAGACATCAGCTTCTTAGGATATTTTCCTAAGTGAATAAAGTAGTTGATTTAATAAAACTATTACTGTGTTTCTGTTATACCAATAATTTCGTTATATTGATTTTGTTAACATAGTTGTACAGTTCTTGAAAGAGCTACATAAAAAGGGGAGGTTTTTTTTAAAGACTTTTTATCAAATGATCATTCTGTAATAGAATCACAGCTCACTAACTTTAGAGCCCAGCAAAACTTTAAAAATAAATCATTTATATAAAGCCCTTTTAACTGCACGGTCCTTAAAAGAATACTTTTCAGGAGTGCCTGGGTGGCTCAGTCAGTCACACAGCCGCCTTTAGTTCAGGCCATGATCCTAGGGTTCTGGGATCGAGCCCCACATTGGGCTCCCTCGTCAGTGGGGAGCCTGCTCCCTCTCCCTCTGCCTGCAACTCTGCCTACTTGTGCTCTCTCTCTCTCATCAGATAAATAAAATCTTAAAAAAAGAGAGAGAGAATACTGTTCAGATAGTATTTTTTGTACAGTAGCACACCCCCCACCCCCCCACCTCCCCACCCTCCCACCGGTTTTCCTTTGTGACATTTCAGTTACCCGCCATCAGCCGTGGTCAGGAAGCAGATGATCTTCCGCCTCCTGACCCAGCATCAGAAGGTGAACAGTAGCCTAATGCTAGGGTCACACTGCCCATGTCATTCCCCTCGCTTCGTCTCATCAAGTAGCATTTTATCATCTCATATCACAAGAAGGATGGGTATAGCACCGTAAGATATTTTAAGAAAGACCAGGTTCACATAAATCTCATTACAGTATATTGTTATAACTGTTCTATTTTATTATTAGTTATTGTTTTCAGCCTTTTATTGTGCCTAATTTGTAAATTAGGCATTATCACAGGTATGTATGTATAGGAAAACATGGTATATATACAGAACACTATACCATCCATAGTTCCTGGCACCTACTGGGGGATCTTGGAATATACCCCCCACAGATGTGGGGGCAGGGGAGGATCTATAGTAGAATTTATCTTTTTGTCTTATTCTTTCTCTGGTATGAGAAGCATATGCTTTAACTATGACCTCGTAGTCCTAATCCCATGCACCCCTACACATACATGAATTTTTAAAACAAGCTGATATTTTAAATACTTTACATTATATTCAAATAAAAGTGATTAAAAGTAATACATGCCAAAACAACAACGTCTTCGTTAGACTGACTCTTACATGGACTAGTGAGTTCATCTATACTATATGGATATGTAATTCATAGGATTTGTTAGGACAGGATCAATAAAGAATTATTATTGTGGGAGAGCTGACTAGACATGAAAATCTAATTACATTAATCCAGATATTATCATGGTATCCACTGAAACAAATTATATGTATATATATATTTGCACATGCATGTGTGTGTATATATACACATACACGCATACATATATACATATACATAATTTAAAGCTTAGTAATGCAAGATACTTACTACTATTAATAATGTAGCTTGGAATCATTTTACCTTTTAATATTGCTGCTGAAATTCCAATGGTAGCACAAATAGGGGGGAGAAAAGCAAAGGCATTAAAGAGTTATATGGAATAATAATTTGCCTGTGTTTGATGTGCCTACACGCATATATGTAGGAGAGAGGATCTGAGTTGAGAAAAAAGACTCAGGAAAAAAAAGTCAGGAACATAGGAGGATTTAAGAAGATTAGAAATCCTATTCTGTTCTATTTTTATTTATACATCTTTACAAATATTCATCCTATTCACTTCATTGTTCTTAAATAGTGGACACGTGGAAGACCCTCAAAGAAGAATAAAGTAACACAAGAAGACAAGATAAAACACTGATCTGGCCAGTACCAGAGTATCGCTGAACTTTTTTTTTTTCCCCACTGTTTCACTTGGAAGTTACACTGAATTGAATCAACTACCTACCTAGCTGTTGGACAAACATCCCCAGGGATTCAAGAACCCTGTACAAATCCCACAACGTTAGTCATTTACAGGTAATGAGAGAAACACAGTTCTCTCTGCAGATGCCTCCAGTGGATAAGGAAGACTGCTCCCATAAGCAGGATGGCAGTCTATGTCTGATGGGTCACTTTCCCTCATTCCTCCACTCCCTCACTCATCCCTGGGCGTCAAACTAAAAAAGAGTACTAGTGAGACCTTGCATTTATACAATTATTTGGGTTTCAAACAGCTTTCAAGTTACTAACAAACATTTTGGCCTAGAGAGGATTACATATTGTCATGATTTAAGGCATGCTACCCTGTCCTTCAGACACCAGCTATAACTCTTGTAACTTATAAATCCCTATGTGATAAACGTACACCTCGGTGGACAGAACCTGCTAGATTTTTACTGCCTTCACCAAGACAGTGGTCATCTGATTACTGGTGGCCTGCTGAAACTCAACTACTATTATATTGTATATAATGTCATTCTATACAATCTTTTTATTCCTTATAAAAGAAATGTAAGATGTAGTATCAGTATAATTGAACGGTGAACATTTGAGACTATTTAAATGGACTCTCTTGATATATCAGCTATATTTTTATCACTGGGCAGAACCACAGCAGAAGTGATAAATGTCATATAAAAAAATAAAATTTGAGAAACATCCTAAGTCAGCAAACAAAGCAAAATAAATGTTTTACAACTCTTATTTCCAAAAATATTTTTCGAAACCATCTTCTATTTTACCAGTTAACCAAAAGTAACTTTTTATAACTCATTTTTATTATCTAACTAGTAAAATCAATGCTAAGCTGTGTAAAAAACATGTGATTTTTTACCCTTACCTCTATCTTTTGCTTTGTCAGAAAGAAGCACTTCCACCTCCTCATACTCCCGGATGGCATCCAGTATGATACTTCCTTCTTTACTGAATAAGAACAGCATGGGGATCTTGATGTCATCTGTGTCTTTTCCATCACCCGCCATCTGGAACAGAGGGGCAGTATCACTGCTGCTCCCCTCATTGTCATCTAGCCAGGAAATGAATACAGCAAACATCAAAACATCTGTCCATTAAAAAGATCTATAGACCAATCTTTATTTTTTTTTTTGCCTGTTGGAGGTATTTATTTTATGCATCAAGAATCATAAAAATGAACATAGTTTTAGAGCTCACTAATTCCATTCCTAGAAATTTATTCTGAGGAAGAACTCAAAACAAGCAAAATGATCTAGGCCTAAAGTAGTTTACTGGAGTACTATTTGTAATTGTGAACAACTGTGAATTATTTTTTTTTAAAGATTTTATTTATTTTACAGACAGAGATCACAAGTAGGCAGAGAGGCAGGCAGAGAGAGAGAGAGAGAGAAGCAGGCTCCCCGCTGAGCAGAGAGCCCGATGCAGGGCTCGATCCCCGGACCCTGAGATCATGACCTGAGCTGAAGGCAGAGGCTTTAACCCACTAAGCCACCCTGGTGCCCCTATTATAAGCAAATTATAATTAATTGCTTAATGGAACACACAGAAAAACAGAATATTATTATTACATGAAAAAAAGTAGAACACAATAATCCATAATTATGACTAAAAACTTCCATATGCTTATGAGAAAGCCTAGAAATAGAAATATTCAAAGCCTTGGCTTACAATGATAGAATTATGAATGAAATTTCATTGCTGTTTAAGATTTCCTTTAATGGCATTTACCAAACTATTAAATGATAGCTCCTATTTCTACACTGCTCACAAAGAAGAATGATGATCGTGGTTCTTCCTCTGTAAGTTGATGAACACTACTGTTGTTTCACACTGGTGAGATAACTGCAGTAGGACTGCTAAATACTGTTTTACTGGTGAAGCGGTCACACCCCCCCTCTAACTGTGCACGCCAGATGAGAAGCCTGCCTGTCCCTTCTCAGACAGCTTGCTGTGATAGGCCCTGCTACGTGGTTAAAACCATGTAGGACTCTCCTCCTTAGCGATAACTGATTGGACAAAGCATGGCCACCTGGCTCTCAGGCTCTCTGGAGGCCCTGGAAGTGGCACACGGCAAGACGTTTTCAGTTAGCAATGGACAGGGATCTAAGTAAGGGGGCACAGACTCAGGGCTGAGGCTCTAATTTTAGAATGACCTTTTTGGAACTAATGAACAAAGAGGGAGCAAGCTGATGAGAAGCTGGAGAATGAAGCAGAACTGCAAAGAGATGCAGCGAAGAGAGTCTAGGAAGACCCAGAGATAAGAGAGAGAGATGTGAAAAACTCTAGGAGCTATCATGGTTCCTGATGACTTTTACTCAGCCGAATTTCTTACTCTCACATTCAATTAAAATAATCCAGTTCCAGGGGCAGCTGAGTGGCTCAGTGGGTTAAAGCCTCTGCCTTCGGCTCAGGTCATGACCCCAGGGTCCTAGGATCGAGCCCCGCATCAGGCTCTCTGCTTAGCGGGGGGCCTGCTTCCTCTTCTCTCTCCCTGCATGCCTCTCTGCCTACTTATGATCTCTCTCTGTCAAATAAATAAATAAAATCTTAAAAATATATACAAAAGATTGGGGTGCCTGGGTGGCTCAGTGGGTTAAAGCCTGCCTTTGGCTCAGGTCATGATTCCCGGATCCTGGGATCGAGCCCCGCATCAGGCTCTCTGCTCAGCGGGGAGCCTGCTTCCCCCTCTCTCTCTGCCTGCATCTCTGCTTATTTGTGATCTCTGTCAAATGAATAAATAAAATATTTCCTGAGAGTAAGGATCATTGCCTCTTACTTGTTTACCCACTGAACTCAGTAGAAGATTCTGCTATTAATAGCTATTAAAGAAAACAAACTTGGCCAACCTTGCAGAGTATAGAATACCATGAGAATGAGACTTACAGTGAAAACCTAAACTACTCCATATGTGTTCCAGCCCTTATTTTTTATATTTTATATTTTTTAAGTCTTGGTAAAGAGGTGTTCAAAATGATAGTGATGACAAGTTATTAAATTCTTCTATAAAAGAAACTTCACAGTGTGGAAAATCACCAAGGATGGAGAGATCATTTAAGTTGGGCAGCAGCAGCCTTTTTCTGTAATTGGCCAGAGAGTGAATATTTTAGGCTACGCAGTTCTCCATTCTTACTGTTGCTCGGAAGTAAGCATACACAATATGGAACAAACTGGCATGGCTGTGTTCCAGTAAAACTTTTATTTACAAAAACAGGCAGTGATGTGAACTTGGCCTATAGGCTGTGGTGTACCAATTGCTGATTTAAGTTATTAAGCAGAAGTTCTCCTAATACTCAATGAACTAATGAAATTTCTGCACTCAATAAATCAGCCCTGAAGTGCCTGTACAGGATAAGCAAAAAGAAGAGTAAATAATTATTTTCACTGAAATAAATCCTAGTATTTTATTTCAAATGCCTTAATTTTTACTTACCTTGAATTGGAAAAGGAAATCTATCCCAGAAAGAAGGAAAAATTTCAAAATAAATTTCCCCTGTGCGAGAAGTTCTAAAAACTTAACTTCATAATTAAGATGTGATCTCAGGTCTTGTAGTTCTGAATATAACTATATACTTAAAGCAAAGAAAAATTTGGGGCACCTGGGTGGCTCAGTCAGTTAAGTGTCTGACTCTTGATTTCGGCTCAGGTCATAGTATCAGGGTTGTGAAATCAAGCACGGCATGGGGCTACCTGGTCAGTGGGGAGAGCCTGCTTGAGACTCATTCTCTCGCCCTCTGCCTCTCTGCGCCCTCCACCCCGCTCCTTCTCTCTAAAAATAAATAAATACATCTTTAAAAAGGAAAGAAAAGTTTCTATTTTCCCTGGCAATCAAGGTCTGCTTGTTATAAGTGATTTTCTATGAAAAATAAAAGAGCAGAACACACTGATTGAAATACGGAGGTAAAATGATTTGAGTTTGTAATTTCAGTGGAAAAAGACCCAAGGAAGTAAAAATTTGCTAGGAACTAGTCTTATACCTGTGATATGTAAACTATTATACTAAGAAATTTTGTATATATTATCGTCAAACCTTAAAACCACCTGAAAGATATTTATTACCACTTTTACTAGAGCTCAAAAAATATTCTACTGAATAAACCAATAAACTAAAGCTAGGCCAAGGTCACAACATGATCTCGTGGCAGAGCCAGGAACTGCACCCCAATGTATTTGACTCCAAAGCCTGCATCTCTGTGGAGGAATGGGTATTTTTAATGGCTTCCCACTGGAGGTGGCAGAGTGTAATTCTTGCCTTTAGAGGGCTTTGGATCTGAAAGCACATTTTCTTATCCATACTGTTGGGTGCTTTGGGGTACCCCCACGTTCTTATCTGTCCCCAAGTACTTTTACTGGCCTTAATATACAGAAACCCAAATCTAGACTTTCAAAAAAGATGTACAAGACACAGAAATTATTTAAGAGAGTCACTGGATTACCCACCCATTATGCTGTCTAGTGAACTAAAAATAATGTGATGAATTCTGCTAAAATTTTGACAAACACAAGGAAAAATTCTAAAAATGATCTCCTCCCAGTCAACCCAATGGCACGGAGGAATACTCACCAATAACAATGCCACCAATGGCACCAGCATTCTGAATGTTGCGAGCCTTTTCTGCAAACATGCACTGTCCTCTTTGTATCAAAGCGATTTTTCCCATCACTGCCTCGGGGTTAGTAAGCTCTGAACAACCATTGTATGGTTTACTGCTTGCAACAAATCCTCTTGTCTGTCAGAAATATAAGGAAGTTAAATATCCTTTTGTCTTCTCAAATCACTCTCTAGTCAATACAATTTACCATCTAGAGCTTTACTTCATTTCTAATGATAACATATCCAGTATAAACTTAGCAAAAAGTTTTTGTTTTGAACACTTTTGCAAATCATAGTACCCAACCAACATCGTACTGCGCTCTGCAGTTTCTAAAACATAAATACTTTTTAAAGCATATAAAGTATATATATATATTTGTATATAAAGCATAAATATAGTTTATAAAACATAAATTACTAAAGCTGATCTTTATAACGACTCTAAGAAAAAAACACAGAATATCTCCATTTTACATACGGGGAAACTAAGACTTGGGTTACATAATTTGCTCAAAGACACAATGTTAGTAAGTGGTAAAGTTGGAATTCATAGGCAGATTCACCTCATACCCACATCCACACTTAAAATAGCTGGGAACCACTTTTAAACCATCACTTATAGGCAGAAAAATTTTTTGAAAGAGGGGAAAAATGGATTTAATCTACATGAATCTGCAAGCAGTTCTCTTCCTAGAATGAGTAATCCATCAGAGAACTGATTTTAAAGATACCAACATAAAGATACTTTAATATCCCCCTCTTTCCTAGAATGCAAACTCCACAAGGGCATGATCTGCACGAGCTTCATAAACATCATACAGAGCTAACATCTAAAACAGGGCCTAGAATACAGTAGTACTAGACTCAAAAAAGAGCTGCTGAGTGGATGAATCAATCTATAAACGTTTAGAGCTTTAAAACACACACACAAAAAAGGTTTCCATTAGGGGGAATGGAGTTCAAAGAGCATTGGCTTTAGATTATCAGGCAACTTGGGTCTGGTCCCAACTCAGCAACCAGTTACATGAATGTGTGAACTGTTTAACAATGTAGGTCTTTGTTTCCTACGTTAAAACTAAGGGGCTGGGCTAGCTTAGTGGCCTTCCAAGTTGGCTTGGTGGGACCACAGTGTCATGCTCTCTATGGCCACCTAGCTAGAGCATCTCTGCTTTTAGTTGTGTTCTACCTTAAAGCTCCAAGTTAGATTTCTGTTCAATGAAAGGTTCTAGTAGATGCTAAAAAGTCCAAAAAACCATTTTTAGATAAATTAAAGATACCAAATTACAGAACAGGCCAAGAACCGGACAATATGTGAAAACATTTTAAGTAAAATTTTTTAAGCATGTTGTATACATAAATTATGACTCAAAATTTTCAAGATACGCTTTTAACTTTAATCTGCTTTAATCTGGGAGAATGAATATTTGGGTTTTAGTAGATTAAATATTTAGGTTTAACAAACTGAAACTGCTAAATTAGACTAAGCAATGAGACAATACTTACACAACACATTCAATTTCAACAAGCATATTATAAGTGTACACACCTCTTTATGTTTAGACAGATCTAGCCCAAACTGAGCTGGTCCAGCAGTTAACACTACCCTGCCAAAAAATGGGTGGGAAACAATTTGTACAGCCCGTGGAGGAAGCTGCTGTTCTTTCTGTTGCTGACTTGACAATTCAATCATCTCCTGCATGAACCTCAACCCATCTTCAGCATCAATTGAACTAGCAGCCTAGGGAAAAAGCAGATTAATTTTATCCTTTTGAAATGAAAACTTTCAACTTTTTGATGTCTTAAGTACTAATGCACTATATAACCTACTCTAAAATTTCCCCTTTCGGTTTCAGTCCCTATCAAATACTTATGGCCTGATTTGTCCTAAAAATACTACTTCTGGAAATATTTTCTGAAAGTAGATTTGTAATTTTTTCAACATCTCCTTCACTGTTCTACAAACCCCTTCTGATATAAATTGAGAACTGGACTTCCACCAAATGCTGAAATGTTTACTTTGCTTGACTTTTCCACTGCTTCCCCTTATAAGAAATAAACCTCATACTGATCCATACTTCCCTTCTTCGGAATTATGAGCCAATAATCACACTAAATTCAAAATATATGTATCAGGCTTCTATTAAGATCCCAGCAATGGACTAGGAACTGGGGACAGAGTCTTTCACTTTAAGAAGTTTGTATCTAGAGGATACAGAAATATAAATTTACCTATGATAAAATTCTCATGTGGGAAATTAGACTAGCAGCACAGACAAAGGAATGTTTGATTCTGCCAGTGTGGATCTGGGAAATATTTAGAAAATGATATCTGAATTGAGTCTTAACAGAGGAAAAGCTGAAGAATGCCTACTGTAGTGGAAAAAAAACGTGGATTCCTGACACTTAACAGTTAATTGTACTTGTTAATTGTACTTGACAGAGTTAGAGGATGAGACAGAACAGAGAGGAGTTTGGAGACAGAGACAAGTTCAAGCCTATCTAGATATATCCAGGTTTGGTGACTTAAGAGAATGATGTTAGGGGCTATTGAGATGGCAAACAAAAAGGAAGAGAAATGGACTGAGGTGGGGGCACAAAGAGATAATCCAGGTTTAGACAGAGACTGAGATGCAGACACATGTCATACATATGACTGGCAAATTAAAGCTGAATTTAAGAGTATAGGTAGGAATCAGGGTTACCTATGTACATCTAAGAAATCACATGTACAAAGACGACAGCTGAACTTGTTGAAACATGTGACTGCAGAAGAAAAATACAGAGAGAAAGGGGTACGATCCAGACTCTCTGGTAGTGCCTACACTGAGTGGCTGTGGCAAAAAATGAAAGTTCCAAAGGAACGCACAAAGCAATGAACAGAAAAGTAGAAAAGATCTATGTTGCTGGAATGCCCTGAAAGCCAAGAAAGGGGTATATTTTAAAAAGGGGTCAGTCAACAGTTACAAAAAAATCAATCAAAGGATTAAGAGGTCACTGGGTGGTAATTATGCCATTGGTGGCGTAAGTGAACATAATGTCACTACAGATGCTGCTCTCTCTACTGAGAAGTGACAGTAAGTGAAACATAAAGGAGCAGGCAGAAGACTCTTTAAGAAAGGATCGATAGGACAACAGAGATGAGACAAGAAATCAGAGGGAAAACTAAGGTTGTGGGAAGGCTGGATTTGAGATTAAGGGATACCATGTTGAAATTCTTTAGCAAACTGTGTTTTTTCTCAGAATCAATATACTAATAAGGCGAATAAACTGAAAAATTAAAAGGTCTCATATTATGAAAGCTTTTAAAGCAAAAAACAATAGAATTTTCTCAAAAAGGCATGTTATTTTTCCTAGGCATAGACAAATACTTACAAATTTTGATTTTCACAACAAATAAAATACTTAGATTCAGATTTTTGGAAACTAAAATACTGTAAACTACAGAGGTATTGAAATGAATTACTAGCTTTTAAGATTTGCTGTAAAGGGTGGAAAGACAAGGTGCTGAGAAACAGAAAACTCTGAACTTGAGCCCTACATTTGACTCTATTGATTTAAGCAAATTACCCAACCTATTCGTGATTTTTTTTGATGTTTTATTTTTTTTAATTTAATTTTATTTTTTCAGTGTTCCAAAATTCATTGTTGATTTGATTTACACTAGGAAGGGGCCAAATTACATGGTTTCCAAGATACTTCCACGTCCTAAAATTCTGATTCTCTAACTTTAAATCACATATTAAAAGTTTTTAGAAAGCCAAATGTCATTATCTTATGAAAGCTGATGAGACCAAAAAGGGCAGAGATGGTATCTAATTAGTACAGCAATGGCTTACTTGGATTGCATGTTGAACCAACTGGACTCTCCCATCTTTGAGGTGAATCAAACTCACCCCCATCTTCTTCAAGATTTCTAAATGTTCAGGGTTAGTGGCCATGAAATCTCTGGCTCTCAGAGGGGGTTTAGCTCCACTCCTGAAACTCTCCTCTCTGCTAAAAGTAATTATAGGCAAGGCTTAAAAAACTACAAATCAGAACTGGGGAAAAACCTAAGACAAATAAAAATAATTTTAGATACTTGCAAAATTACTAGTTTTAGAACTAGTGGAACTGGAAAAACTGGAAACAGCTATTTTCTCATATATAACTTAGTTTATTAAGTGGCATAGTCAAATATATTTTACAAAGCATGTATATTATCTACAAGTCTGCATTAGTCGACAGCCTTAAAACTATCTGAAAGCACAGAAAAGGTTGGCTTGGGGATTTGTTATTATTGACTTCTTCCTTGAAAAACAGGGTTTTTCAAGGAAGCAAAACAGTGTTTCTATCTGTGCATAATAACACTCACTTAAAAAAATTTTTTTTTAAATTTCTTATTGATGGCCTTTCTAATGTAACTATTTAGGGAAAAAATGAACTCATTAAGCCAAAAAATTTTATTTAAAAACTAAGAATCAGTACTTCATCAAAAAACAAAATCAAATGAAACAAGAAACTATATTTTCACTACATAGAAACTATAGATTAAAGGAAAAATACTTTCTACATAAATAAGATATGTGGAAGTATTTGAAGAAACTATTTTGTGTAAAAATGAACTACAGAAGTTAGCTATTACATGCCACCCACTGACTATTAACAGTTCATTAAACAAAATAATCACCATAATAAATTTCCATAATAAAATTTCCATAATAAAAAAGACATTACTTCAGAATAAACATTGCCATCTAACTTTACCAATGAATAATTTTTCATTAGTGATAACTACATACTTCAGTATGTTTTTGGTCTAAGTGAACATCTTCTTGGCCGTTATATGTTCCTTACACTCTGTCATTTACTAACAATTAACTTGGTTATTAACAAGTACGAAATAAAACATCTTACACTCTGATGATGCCTCTAGGACAGCTCTTATCCACCACATTTTTCAAGGGTTCACGAATACTCTGAGCATACAGTGGGTCATTAGGAAAGAGAATCTGAGTGTTTGGACAAGTCCAGTCAAAATTACTGTCATCCAGTTCTGTATATTCTGAAGTCTACAATATAAAAGAATATTACATAAATAAAAATCATTATTTTACTAAACATTATAGCGTGTCCATATGAAACATTAAGTGAAATCTAAGCGTGTATAGGATAAACAATATAATAAAACAAAACAAGAATACAATAAGTGAATATAAGATAAAATTGTAAGAAAACAAAATAAAATATCAAGTGTACTTTTCCTCCTGCCATACATATATTTATTGAATTCTATTCATGAATTATTTTTCACTTGGAAAAATAACCACATAAAAGAAAATAAGACATTTAATTAAAAAACATAACCTACTGTATTCTTCTTAGAGATACTTTGATTTGTAGTAGAGAGCCAAAGAGGTAACAGATGAGCTTCTGTTGTAAAGATGTAATCTTCTATATCAAAAATAATGTCTTCTTTATCAGCAAATAACAGGTAAAGATACTTAAACATCTCAGCCAAGAAGAAAGAATCCATCCTGAGATAAAAAGTCACAAATAAATCTAAGAACATAAAAATATCCAATGCCAACTATCTGAAACAGACAGAGTCAAGGTCAATAAACAAGTCAATACCAATTCCGAAGTCCAAAGTACTATAGTATCTATCTGTTCCCCAATGGAACAGTCTTGACTAGAAGCATATTCCAAGGGAATGAAAAACACCAGAGGGGCTGCCTACCACACAGGTACACTAAATCTTGTCAATAGTACAGACAAAATTTTTCCCATTGGCCTTCCAATGAAGGAGAGTTTTCCATTTCTTCTACAGAGAACCAACAGCAGGGAGGTAATGCAGATAAACTTTACCACTGAGAGCCATACAAGAATTCAATTAATATTAAGCTGGATAAAGTAAAACAATTTTGATGGAGTTCATTATGTAGCCATTTAAGTGATAAGCAAGAAGGCTTTAAAGGTAAAGGAAATCACTTACAAAAAATTACATGAAAAAAGTACAGCACAAATCACAGGGACTACGATTATAACTGTAAATATTTAAATATTGTCAAAAAGGGAATACAGAAGAAACAAAGGGGATAAAAATATATGTGACTTTATAAATTATTTAATGTTATAATGTTTTAATTAACATTTAAAAAAAAAGCTTTAATAAAATTAAAAGTGGCAGAAAAAGAGCATAGCTGTTAGATGGAGTTATAGTAAGATGGAATTTATCACATTTACTACCTCCCAAAGCATCCTAGGTTTTGGCAGTAATAACTCGTAATTTACTGGACAGACAGCATAGTTTCATACCTCCAGCCAAGCACAAGTCCTGGCACACAGTAGGCACTCAATAAACATTTACTAAATCAAAAGCAAGTTTTAACAGTATTACTAAAGAATGACCTAGAGAGGCAATGGAACACAGAGGTAAAGAAATGGGCTTTGGAAATAGAAGACTTTCCACTGACTAGCTGTAGAATCATGAGGATATTATAGAAGGACTGTGAGCTTCAGTTTATTTTTCTGGAAAGGATATAATAATGCATGTCTATGTCTAACACTGGGGTAAAGACTAAATGAGATACTACACATTTATTATTTAGCACAGCACCCGGCATATGTAGGAGCTCAAAAACAGAGCTATCATTATTTTTCCTATACAACAATGATGTTTGTTTTAGAACAACTCACCTGTAATCTTCCAAAAATTTTTTGAACATTTTATATGTTAATCTTTTCAGAATAGATAAAACACTTCCTGTCAATCTGCAATATACTTATGATAATTTAACCTTCTCTGGGGGATAGTTATTATCATGAGCAAATGCTACCTTGAGAACCATAGACTGATGAGCAGGGTGTTGATTTTTGGGCGAATTCTAGAACTTACTATGAAAGAGAGAGTTAGCAAACACTTAGAATAGAGAAACGGTAAAATCACTACAGTACAAATTGGGTAAGGCTAGCAAACTGGGTATCATATCATATAATCTGATTTGTATTATAAAACCATAAATATATACACGAATGCAAACATATATGTAATAAAACTATCTGGAAGACTGTTTATCAAATCTCAACAGTGGTTATCTTAGGGTGGGCAAGCAGCGAAGTGTCTTAGGAAAGATTTTTGATATTCTTTTTGCCATTTATATTCTTTCAGTGATCATTAAGGAACATACAGATATTCCCGTTTTGAAAATTTTATGTGTGTACGCTGGTGAGCCAGGGGACAGCACTGACAGATCTGTAAGGGAGTAAGCAACCAGACGCAAAAAGCTTGCAACCTGAAAGCCCTCAAATGTTACACCACAAGGTGTACTAGCCATGGTCCAAACAGAATTCTTCCCCAACAATTTAGATGGAAACTTTTTAAGGTATGCCTATCTAAACTGCAGATCACTGAAAACAGGTAATTTCGGTAGTATGTTAGATGACGGAGAGGAGATTCAAACTCTCTTTTAGGTCTAGAAACACACACACACACACAAACCAACAAAATCAAATTTTGCTAAGCTAAGGATAAAGTTCTAAGTTTACACCAAAAAAAAAAAAAAATCACTTGCTTAAAAAGCAGGTTGGACAATACCCATTTGTCAGGCCACAGTTAAGTAACTGAAGTGAACTGGCCACAAGCTCACTGTGAGCTGAATATAATAAAGCTGCTAAAAATCTAAAGCTTATCTGGTAACACAGAATGATGATTAGTAGTTCTCGACCTTTGGCTGGGCCAAATGCAGGAGAGATACGATGTTGCCATGAGGAACAGTGAGTTGATGAAGCCGCTATCCTCAGCTGGATGGAGGGCACAAGCCCATCAGCTGCTTGGAAAATTAGCAACCTCACAACTGTTCTCGAACAGTGATGTTTTGCCAGGCACATCCTGAGGATGGCTAATTCTGGACATGATATTTTAAGATACACTCTACATACTGGAATATAATCAGACTGGGACAAAGGCAGCGGTGAATGGTCTAGAAACAATGTCATATAAGGAATATTTATAGGGAAAAATAGGAGATTGCTAAATTTACAAAACTGGAACTCTCTACATAGAGTAAATCATGCCTTGCTCTGTAATTCTTCAACCTGTTACTCTTTTTTTCTACTATAGCACAAATCACGTGGTTTTAATTGTATCTTTACATACTTATCTTCACTAACTACAAGTCAAGGGAGGGCAGGAATGGGTTCTAATTTCTCTTCCCATCCCCACACGTAAGTGCAGTGCCTGGCATACAGCAGGTGCTTAATTATTTTGTTCCTTGCATGAGTTGCCAGAATAGCATTGCATTCAAGAGCCAATCTGCCTTGATAAGAATTCTAATTACTAATTGTGCGACCTTCGGTAAGTTCCCCAACCTTTCTGTGCCTTGGCTTCTTCACCTATTCAATGAAGATTATAACAGAAATTACACTTCAGAGGGTTGTTGTCAAGATCAAAGGAATTAAACAAAGAAGGGGCTTAATCAGAAGAGTGCCCAAAATGTAGACAGCAGTAAATAAATATTAAAAATAAATACACAGCCTATCTGCTTTCATTTCTTATTGGTATCTACATGGCTACTTCCAAAAACCTATCCATTTCTCATCAGCTACGATCAGGGAAGTAGGTCTCAAGCCTCATTAACTATTATCTAAATACTCTCGAGTGAAAGACTAAGGACAGCTCTGAGTAGATGATGAGGGCTGTATCTCACCTGCCTCTACCCCTCTGCCTGAAATTCCTTTTACTACTGTTTTCTCATCCTTATCTTGAAGGATGTTACAGAAGCCTCCAGAAACCTTCCAGGAACTGTCATATCCCAATCTTTAATACATTTCATGGCACACATACAATGTAGTAGCATCTCTTTATCTGCCTATTCTCAGTGATTCAAAGATGGAAAAGACATGTCTTCTATCTTAAATCCTCAGAAACTAGTATAACTCTGGCACATAAAACACTTCATAAACACCTGTGGAATGAACATTTGGTAACCAAATCAACAAATGTTAGTGTTCATTAGAGATGTGCTGCTAGGTTCTGGATGGTTAAAATAACTAGATAAGTAATCCTGGAATAACTGTAATGTTAGTGACTATCACAGTAACCAAAGTATGCTTTTTACAGCTTGAGTATTTCATGCCATCCACATCTCTCCAATATGCGATGAAAGAGAAATTGACAATGGTCTTCCCCAGCCCTTCAAATCGGCAACAGAATAAGAAAGAATACACACATTAACCAAGATATGCTTTGAGGAATTTTTGACTCCACAAAAATCATAATGCAGATCATTCGTCATCATCTTGATAATTTCTAACATTGTACATAATAAAAAAACTATTAACACAGGACCCCCTCCCCGCATTCCTAATACTCCTAATACCAAGGTTCTGATATTTAACATTTGTTTATTCATCTACTTAAAAATCATTTAAGCACCTACTATATGCCAGGCACCATGATAAAAATACAAACTTTAAATAAGCCCATTCAAGAGTTTAAAATATAAACACAATGAACTACCTTTTGCATCTTCAAGAACCTTTTGTAAAAGCATTAAACGTATCTGAATTCTAAGAGTTGTATTTTGTGTTGTTTCAGAGTTACCCTGAGGAAAGGGGATGTTAGGAATGTTTTACCTGTCCTCATGACTTCCAGTACGAACATCCTTCATGGCAGCAAATCCGCAAGGCACTCTAGCATATTTATTTAAATTTTCAATAAGTGTTTTCCCTACTTCAAGGTAGTAAGGATCTCCTGTAGCCTATTAAAAAGGAGAATATATGTATACATATATATAGCTTATATATTACCATATACCCACTCATTTATCAGGGATTTATTGAGTACCTACTAGGTGCTTAGGCATTGTATCAGACACTGGAGTACATGTTACACAGAACTTAGCTTTGAAAATAAGCCAGGGATCTGCTTTATGGAATATCTTAAACACACAACTGGAAAGCTGTCCAACTACGTCTCTCAGCCCTTTGATAAAATTTTCAAAGCCCAAAAAGGTAAGAGACATGCTTTAGAAAGCAACTCTAGAATATAACATTTCTCTTTTTAGAAATGTTTATGTAAATATTTTGAAAAGACACAAAACTTAGGTGACAATTCTTCTTTCAATACTTATGGTCTAGATGAACGAAAACCATAACATATCCAATCATGATAACATTAAACAAGGACTTTGAAAACCCAATAACTATTATAAGGTAGTGAGATATCCAACAGAGAATGGGGACTAAACAGCAAAAAGAGAGGTAAAAGAGCTTACTTTATACAAGAAGTAGGTACTTTCTGCAAATTCTGGTCTTAAAGGATGTTGAGCCCAATGTACCCTGAAATCTGTGGTAAATGCCTAGACAAAACAACATATAAATAGGTATAGAAATGTGATTAAAAAATAAACAACCGGTTCTAGAGTATACAATACATAAGTTAGACCATAAGAAAGTAAAAAATTAAAATATTGGTAACAATTTTCATCAATAAAATGAAAATATTCATTGCTTAAAATCATAATTCATTTTTGCTAAAGTGCTATTTTTAGCAATTAAAGTAATTATTTTTGTAAATGATCATTTTGGCTATTAGGAAGCTTAGAGAAAACTATGAAACTCAGTAATGCTACTAAATGGGTCTTTGTGTTTTCTTCTTTTTCCTTATCTCCATTTTTCCTCTTAATTATTAAGTCCCTTGTTCTATTTCTATTTTAGCATTTTAGTATATTCCTTCTTTTGTAACAACCTCAAATCCTCTGCAGAGTGAGACAAGGCATTATTTAAAAATAAAACTAGTCTCACTTTAAATTATTCACTAACAGAGCCAACTGGTTTAAAAAAAAAGATTAAAATAAAACCAAAACCTTTATGGGAACCAAATAAAACTTAATCTGTGATAAGATGTATTTAGTTGAACCTTGGTTTATTCTCAGTGAATATGAATTTTCTACAATGCACAGTCCTACTTACCTGAAGTCTAATAAAACTATACTTTCTCAAACAAACACTTAAGGAAGCAATCTAGCGGCACCTGGGTGGCTCAGTGGGTTAAAGCCTCTGCTTCTGGCTCAGGTCATGATCCCAGGGTCCTGGGATCGAGCCCCTCATCAGGCTCTCTGCTTGGCGGGGAACCTGTTTTCCCCCATCTCTCTCTGCTTCCCTCTCTGCCTATTTGTGATCTCTGTCAAATAAATAAATAAAATCTTCAAAAAAAAAAAAAAGCAATCTAAATTGGTGAAATGCTTAGATATCTTGCAGAGTGTAGTGAATAAGCAGGGATAGAACACATACATGAATTTGGGAATTTTTAATGGTACATTTCTGGAAAGCCAAAATGTGTGCTATTAAGATTTGGCCTATCAAGCTAGCAAGAATATTTATTACTAATATATAAAAACTAGGCAGTCTATGTGATCAGCAAGAGTATATGTTCAATGCATATCATTTTCATCAAATAATCTTTAGAAAATAAAGAGTAAAAAAGTCTCTCTAGGGGTGCTTGGGTGGCTCAGTGGGTTAAAGCCTCTGCCTTTGGCTCGGGTCATGATCCCAGGGTCCTAGGATCGAGCCCCGCATCGGGCTCTCTGCTTGGCAGGGAGCATGCTTCCTCCTCTCTCTCTCTCTGCCTGCCTCTCTGCCTACTTGTGATCTCTGTCTGTCCAATAAATAAATAAAATCTTAAAAAAAAAAAATCTCTCTAGTTGGTGGGTATATGTAAAAGTTAGAATGAGAAAATATGTATGTAATGGCATAGATCAGGAAAGGCTGAGAAATACTAATTTGGGTTGTTTTCTTTTTACACAGAGGTCAGCATTACCTTAAATTAGACTTAATACATGAGAAAAAGGAAAAACATATATAGTACTGTATAAACCAAAAACTACTTAATTAAATAAACTATTTAACCAGGAAAAAAACAAATAGGAAAGAATAAACCAATCCTGAAGATAACATTTGCTATCTTTAAATTAGCAATTTATAATATATGTAAATTAGAATTCCCAAGATGATGTGCTTACCTCTGGTAGGAAATTATGTTTTTTTATCACCTGATATAACATTTCATGAGTTTCAATAGCAGGTCTAATATCCCCCTTTAAGACCTAGAAGTCAATAATAACAACAAAATTACCTAACAAAATATGAGTTGACTTTAGAGTCATTATATAAACAGAAAAATGTATATTAATTTTAAAATGTAACTCCATTTTGGTAACTCAATTTTAGAGATCACATATGCATTTAATTATTCTATGTTAATACTTAAAAAGCACAGGTATTTTGGTGTGGGGTTTTTGGTTGTTTTTTTTTTTTTTGGTTTGTTTTTTTACCTGCAAACCTGGAAAAAAGGCGAGCAAAGCATCCATCCAAGTTCGAGCATTCAGCATTGGCTTGTGGATGTGTACATCAAGCAGAAGAGGTGGCTGGCTAATGTACCTCATTATGGCATCGTAGTGCTAGAAGATCACAGTATGTGTTCATGAAAGTAGATGAAAAAAGATGTATTATTCTAAAAACAGTAATTAAATCTCACTGTGAAGAAAGTTAACCTGAATTTATATATAAATACATTTACTTATTAACTATGTAAATATTTAAATTATTCTATATGGAAATCTTTCTAAAATATAGTATATATACTCCCCTGTGTTAATTCTGATGCAGAATATTAAAGACTATAGTTAATATAGAATCTTCTGAGGGGAGATCCTATTGCTGTCTTGTGGGAACGGCCCATGGCTGTGGCCAAAGGATGCTCTTATGTCCTCTTGAAGTATAGTTATAGGCTTCTGTATTACAGAATTAGTTGCATTTTTCTCCTGTGTATAGGAAGTTCGGTCCCTTCTCAGCTAATGTAATACTCTGGTGGAGCTCACCACTACTTAAATTAATGCATCTAGTTACTGTTACCACTCTTACAGTCTGCTACATCTTTTATATTCATAAAAACTCTTTTTCCTCTTCTTTTACCTTCTAGGTATTTCTCAGATTTGACAAAAACAGGTTGAGCTGTTAGTCAATCCATGAGCCAATTAAAAAAAACCTGTCCTGGTTCACCTCAAAAAAATCTTGTTATAATCTAATAATATGTGATCATGTTTTTTTTTTTTTTAAGTATTCAACTGGCAACTTATTAGGTCTCTTACTGGTTTTTCCTAACTCATCTATTATTTAGTATGTATTATTGAGTATCTGCTAGATGCTAAGGCATTGTTCTAACACTTCACATGCACTAGCTTATTTAATGCTTCCAATAACTCTATGATAATACTAATATTCCCATTTTGTGGATAAGGAACAGAATTAAATAGTGTAAAGTTACTTGCCCAAAGACACAAAACCAGTGGTACACCAGGATTTAAACCCAAGCGGGACAAACTCCCCTACTTTAGCCACTATACCATACTGTCTCACAGTAATGTGGGTGAACTGATGGGTGCACAAAGAAATTGTAAATGATGTTGAAAAGAATACAGTGATATAGCTGATGAGTTTACTGTACTGATTTCAATTTGCTTCAGTTACAAAGGCAAACCGATCAGGTTCAGTAATCCCTCCCCTTCTCCCCTAAAAATATGCCTGTGGTTCTGACCCAGACTTAAAAAGAGTTATTGACCTGCTTTTGAAATGAATACTCACTAGTTTCCCTAAATCTCCAAAGCCCTGCATGCTTGGTGTGATCAAGGACTAGGCCAAATTTCCAAGATTTCAACAAGAATTGGAGTCCAAAGGAGAAAGATAACTAGTAATTTATTCCAATAAATTCACTTCCTTGTATAAAAGATTAGGTAAACTCAAATCTACTTATTTTATGACTTACTGGCAGAACTCAAAAACTTCTGAAAAGAGATGAAAATAAAATTACTTTGTAAACTAATTTTTGGAATGTACGTAGCTTTGTCCTACCCTTGTCCAACATCATCAAGGAATACTGAAAAAAAAAAACCAATACACATTTAAAAAAGATTATTTCTCCAACTTTCACTCAGTTCAGTTTCTATCAAAATCTGGCACTCAAATAAAATTGGCTCTAAAGTTACTATAAAATTAGATCAACTTACTGTATTAAATCTTTCCAGAAAACTGTCATCTCCAAGCAAGACATAGGCTTTCAATAGATATTCATAATATGAATCAATCCCTGCTCCAACTCCACTATCTATGAAAAAAATACATATAAACATGGTTCTTTATTAAACAAGTCTTAAAACCTCTTGACAGAGTATAAGTGAGGGTAGGAGTACATTAAGAATGAAACCTCAGCGGCGCCTGGGTGGCTCAGTGGGTTAAGCCTCTGCCTTCAGCTTGGGTCATGATCTCAGGGTTGTGGGATCGAGCCCTGCGTCAAGCTCTCTGCTCAGCGGGGAGCCTGCTTCCCCCTCTCTCTCTGCCTGCCTCTCTGCCTACTTGTGATCTCTATCAAATAAATAAAATAAAATAAAAAAAGAATGACATGTCAGTCTAAACATGAAACTGTTTAAAGTAAAAGTTCAACATTTATAGAAATATTAACCCTACTAGATGAATAACAATGGTTCATTGCTGATGTTTGTATATTTACAAAAAAAGAATCTTACTTTGCAAAACTCGTTACATAAGTCTTATTTAAAAGCAGGAGATAATAGTTCTAAGAAGTTTTTCAAAGCTCACTTTCTCAGTGAGAAACTCCAAAAAGGAAACCTTAGAGAGGACCATTATACGTTTTTAAAAACATTTAGATCCTTAATCAGTAAGACATCAATCTTTAAAGTTAGAGTAGAGATGAAATCAAGACTGCTGCTGTTTGGAGGGTCCAATTTTAATTGCTGCAACTTCCCTCCAAGATCATCACTGAGGACCAAAGGAAACTGTAAGAAGCCTGGCAGCATGGGCAGAGCAGGTAGGGGAGAGGGTGGTTTTGGCCTGGAGCAGAAGGCAGCCAGACATGACTAAGAAAGAATCATATAGGAGGGAAACTGCTAGAGCTTTGCTCTTACTTCTCCCAAACCACTATCTTAAGACACACCTCCTCCTACACTTGCTACAACTCAGGTCTGTGCTCCAGGTCTCCTCAGGAGTAAAATCAGGACAGCACTGAAACCCTGCATAAGGAATTGAACAAAAGAGGTGGGAACTAATTTTAGACATTCTTTCCCCTACCTTTCCCAGTAATTCCTGAGGTTGGTGAGTTTACAATTTAAATTACAACTACAATTACAATCTTAGAAATCCCTATACCCAGGGACCATGCAGCATCAATTAAATCAGACTCTCCTGGGGTCCAAGCATTGGTATTTTTTAACAAAAATTCTTAGAATTCATCCCTAAGATCACCGGGGATGACAGGGATTGGAATCTGACCTTCTCACAGAATAGGTGAAAAAGGAACATAAACTTACATGCCAAAAACATTTAAGCAGCATGACTTTCTAAAAATAAAAAGAAGGTGCTGGAATGAGAATTTATCAGAAGAAGAAATAACAAAACAGGCACACTTACTTTAAATTATTTAATTTTAAAATTAGCCTAGTAGACATACTAAAGATAGGGAAGATACTAACAATATAAAATAATAAGAAAAAAAAATTTCAAGTAAGCTCTCCATCTTACATGGGGATTGAACTCATGCTCTATCAACTGAGCCAGCCAGGTGCCATACAAGAAAAATGTTTTAACCAGGCAGAAATATACAGAATAAAAAATGAAACAGTTAAAACAATAAAGCAGATGGGACATATAGCAGAAAGGATGAGGCTGAGGCAGAGATCAGCAAATTGGAAGATCACATGTGGCAATTTTCCAGAAGAAAGAAAGGCAGAAGAAAAAAAAAAAAGAAAATATAAAGATAAGATATATGGAGCAGAGAAACAGAATTGATTTAGATAACAGAAAGTGCAAAAAGAGAGATTAATAAAAATGAAAAGAATATCTAAAAAATAAGACCAGGGGCACGTGGGTGGCTCAGTGGGTTAAAGCCTCTGCCTTCAGCTCAGGTCATGATCCCAGGGTCCTGGGATCAAGCCCCACATTGGGCTCTCTGCTCAGCGGGGAGCCTGCTTCCCCCCTCTCTCTCTGCCTGCCTCTCTGCCTACTTGTGATCTCTGTCAAATAAATAAAATCTTTAAAAAATTTTTTTAAAAATAAGACCAGTTTTCAGCAATTAAAAACAAAGATTTTAAGGAGAAAGGACCCCCAGAATATCAAAAGGAGAGCTAAAGAAAAGTCTATACCTAAAATTACAGAGACATTTTTAGAAATTTCTCTTTGCTTTTAATATTCCTAGTCTTCCAAAGAGGAAGACTAGATCACACACATAAGGGCATAAAAATCAGAATATTTCTCATTTTTTAATATGATGTATGAACACAACAGAATTGTATTTTCAAAGACTTGAAGGAAAAGAAATTAAATAGAAAATTATATATATCCAAACGAACACTCAAATATGAAAGCATAATAAAGTTGTTAGGCATAAAAGGCCTCAGAAACTATTAAAAGCTACTGAAAACAGGGATAAATAAGTAAGAAGGGAGACAAATCTACCAGATGTTGTTAGCAATAAATACACAAGGTACAAGTGACCAAATACCTTGACAGTTTGGTTTGTTACCTTTAAAGAAAGGAAAAGAGGGCTGCGCTAAGACCAAAAAGGAAAAAGAACATATTCACAGTGAATAAGAACTAAATAACTACATAATATTAACAAAACAAGGGGTGGAGGTTGGGGTGACAAGAGGTAGGAGAAGATGCTAAAGTTCATGTCTTACTAGGAGGTAAATATAGGTTTCATTTAATAACAAAAGGATTAAAGAGAAAACAGGAAAGGTGGAACACTCTGAAATTACAACTAAGATAGTATAAGTCCAAATATATTAAAAATAGAAGTAAATAGAAATACATAAAAAAATAGAAGTAAAAATAGAAGTAAATGTAAATGGACTGAAATCACCAATTAAAAGAAAAAGACTGACAAATTGGCTTTTTAAAACAATCTAAATTTCGTAAGAGTTACACTCAGAGCATGGGCACCTGCAAAGACTGAAAGTAAAAGGATAGAAAATTTATCAGGCAATTAAGCAAAATAAAGCTGATGTAGCTGTATTATTATCAGATTAAATAGACTGTAAGACAAAGAACATTATTAGAGATGATCACTACATAATGAAGAAATACTTTAAATCATTTGTATGTTTAAAACAAAAGACACAAAAATATTTCTCTCAACTAAGAAGAGAGAGGTATTTTAAATGAATGCACCTAATAAAACAGACTAATGCACCCAAAAATATATACAAAGCAAAACAAAACTACAGGAGATATTAATAAGTCCACTACCACTGTCAGAACTTTTATCTACCTTTCTTAATTCTTGGTATTAACAGAAAACAGAAAATCAGCAAATTGACATATACAGAAATCTATACCCAAGAATGAGAAAATACACACTTTTTAAAGTACATGCAAAATGTTCATAAAAACCAGCCATGTTTGGGGCACCTGGGTAGCTCAGTTGGTTAGGCACATCCAACTCTGGTTTTAGCTCAGGTCACGTCCTGAGATCGGCCCCTGCACTAGGTCCCGCAATGAGCATGGAAGTCTGCCAGAGTCTCACTCTCCCTTTTCCCCTCCCTTTGCCCGTCCCCCTACCCCATTCATGTAACCTTTCTCTCTCTCTCTCTCTCTCTCTCAATCTGAGGAAAGGAAAAACAAACAAACAAACAAAAAAAAAAAACAACAAAAAAACCTGGCCATGTTCTAGGCCAAAAAGAAAATGTCCATAAATTTTAATGGATAGTTATCATATAAATCAGTATCATATAGGTATCAACAGTATTTTTTTTTTAAAAGTACAACTGAACAGAAAATGGAAAAAATACAAGAACATCAATAAAAAAGGGAAACCTATAGAAAAATTCTACTCTTCCATACATAACCAAGAAAAACTCTTGTGGAGAAATATACAAATATTCATGGCACTACTTTTCATTAGAATAAAATCCAGGAAACAATCTATATGCCCAGATTGTGATTGATTCATCCAATAAAATATTATACAGCAGTCAAAAAAAAAAAAAAAAAACCAACTATACCTTCACGCAACAATATACACGAATCTTAGCAATATATTATGTGAAAAAAGTCTCAAATGCATGATGTGATATGATTTTATAAGGTTTAAAACAAAACAAAAAATATACTTTTTAAGAATACATACTGATGCAATAAAACTTTATTAAAGGCAAATGATCAGTAGAAGATAAGAATGCTATTTCAGTTAGAGAAGGCAGAGGTATAGGACTGCAGAAGTGGAGTCAAGGATCATATGCACAAGTGTTTGTCGTCAAGTAATGGTCCACTTGCGGGTCCTTATTACATTATTAAAAATGATTAAATGGGGCACCTGGGCGGAAATGATTAAGTAGGGGTGCCTGGGCGGCTCAGTGGGTTAAGCCTCTGCTTTCAGCACAGGTCATGATCTTAGGGTCCTGGGATTGAGCCCTGCATTGAGCTCTCTGCTCAGCGGGGAGCCTGCTTCTCCCCCTCTCTCTCTGCCTGCCTCTCTGCCTACCTGTGATCTCTGTCTGTCAAATAAAATCTAAAAAAAAAAAAAAAGGATTAAGTAAAATGGGCCATGCATAGACCAATGATGAGTGTGTCATCATCACTGATTAGGATTAGGATTAGGACAAGGATTAGGATTAATTTAAAATTAATTCTGACTAATTAATTTGTATCTGAGTTCCAAGCAGATTAAAAAACAGAAAAGAAATGGTAGAATTCTGAAACCAGAATTCTGATTAGTTTCAAGAACCATCTACATAAAATTTGAAAAAAACCTTACATAATACCAAATAGATAATAAATAAGATAGTCTTTCTAAGAATAAATATTCTAGTATATTTCCATTCACCTATGCTCTAAAAGGGTGTCTTATAAAGATAAAATTATATTCTTTATATAATTCTATATCCTGTTCATGTAACATTTGTCTCATGATTCCAATTCATTTCAATAACATCTAGTGATAACATTATTAAATATAGATTTTTACTTAATGTGAGACAACTGACGTATTCTGATTCTTTAGTTCTCAAGAAAACTAGTTTTAGTGTTTCACCCATATCACATCTATAATGCTATATCAATTAAGGTATGAAATAAAACAGTAAGTCCATCTAGAATAAATGTACTATTTTGGGGTCCCAAAGAAGAAAATCAGGTTAAATTAAAATTCCAGTAATCCAGTGAAAAACAATGCTTTATACTGTCCCAAAGATTATTTTAACAAATGAAAATCATTTCTTCCCCATTCAGGGGATGTGAAGGCTTGATTTAAAAAGCCCAATTTACATGAAAAAAAAAAAGAAAGCGCCCAACTTACATACCTTTTCTTACCCAGTCTCCAGTATGAATATTTATAGTCACACCCACTAAATTACTACTTCGTTGTCTTTTCTCCCAGAGAAAATCAAGAGCTTTTCTTGCGTATTCCTATAATTAAAAAAAAAGAAAAAAGGATATTAGAAGAACTGCATGTCTCTGGCAAACAGGAAACAAACAAAAGTCAAAGGCTCATAGAATATTTTAAGGATTACATAAAATTCCTATGATAATCATTTATAATATACATTAAATTTCTTTACAAGTCAAATCTTGGCTCTTTTTCAGCCAATCAAGCCTAGTTAAAAAGAAAGAGTCTAAAAATACTATTTAGTGGCAGTGATCTCAGTTTGAGACCTTCATGTTTTTGTCTGTATTAGTAGTACAAGTTCACATTCATATACATGTATTAGAAAATTATATTAATTGCGGCCATAATTAAATGCACTTCTTAAAATAATTTCTATCACTTAAATACAAAGTGAAAATCTCCTCACAGACTCTTACTTAGAGAATTCCAAGGTTGGGGTGTCATCTCTGAAACACAAACAGGCATGTCAAGAACCCACTTTTTACACAGCGTGCAAGTCTGTTAGTGAAGAGTAAATGAATTCACTAGTACGCATCTGACAATACGAAACATAACCTTATGACACCGTTTCTCTTTTTCACTTATTTTTATCCATTGGCCACTAAATTAAAATAGTTTCTGATCAAATTCTTAGCTCTGGATAAAAAGTGGTGATAAAACATAAAAGCGTAAGACATGTACAGCATAGTTTCTAAGTTAAACTTAATTTCGGAATGGGAATCTACCTAGCATTGGAGAAGTACTTCTATAGAGAAGCACTTCTACAAAAGAAAAAAAAATCATTAAACCAATTTGCTACTTTACAGATTTAAGAACAGAGTATAAAATAGTCTTTGCTCTTAAGTCAATTTATTTATGCTGATTTTTTTAAACAAAGCAGATAATGGCTTTAATTAAATACTATTAATTTCAGAGCCAGAAAGTTTCATAAAGATTATATTTCCTGTTCCTATCTTACAGCTAAGAAAACAGGCCCAGTGAAATCAAAGACTTAACCGAAGTTTAATGAATTACAGAACGATATGAGAATTCAGAGCTCTTCATATGTTAGACCAAAAGTCATTTTGCCAGATAGTATTTCAGGCATTATGAATCCATATAGTCACTGTCACAATTACTCAACTCTTGTCACTTTAGCACAGATGCAGTCATAGATACAAATAAATAAATAAGCATGGATGTGTTTCAATAAAACTTTATTCACAAAAATAGGCATTGGCTATGGCCCCGCGGCTGTTGTTTGCCAACCCTGTATTCGATCGATGCTGTCAACTGCATCATGTTGCTTCTCTTAAAATAAATTACTGTATATTCATGAAGTTTAAAACATCATAATTTCCAAATAGATTTATTCATAAGTACAAAATAGACCAGTGGAAAGAGTATGGGCTTTGAATTTAGAAAGGCGTGGATTCTAATTTCAATTCTACTCATTCATCCATAGCTGTGCATCTTATACTCTGAGTCTCACTTTCCTAACCTATAAATGCATCAGTATCTCAGAGTTTGTAATTCAAATTAGACTGTGCAAAAGTGACTATACTTTTCAATGAAAGGAAAATACATCAGCAAAGTACAGAATAAAATCAAACCAAACGTGATAAATCTGTCCTTGACACTCTGAACATACAGATACACAAAGACCACTTGACTTGTTTTACTTACACTCAGATCCAACGTCTCTAATGCTAATATATATTCCCTAGTTTTACTTGCTTTATGTATGCCATTTGCTGAATTTTTAAAAAATTTCCCGTCATATTTTTAAAAAGAGGGTGTTTTGTGATACTACTCCACACAATAACATGCTTAAACATATAGATAAAATTAAAGTGTGAGACATAGCTAGTCTATAACAAATTACTTGGGGAATATTAAGTCTTTTGGATAAAAAATAACATTAACCTTGGGGGTAAACAAACTTACAGATATGACTATCAAGACAAGTGCAAAAATTTACACTGTTTCAGTGAGGTTCTCAGAAATGCAACAGACCATCTAGAAGTATAACAAATAAAACAAACAGTTTTTCATGTAAGACATCTGTGATATCAAATTCATATAATATGACTAGAAATCTCCTAAGAATAAACCTAAACATTTATAGTTTGTGAAAAATGCAGTTGTATTAATATATATCTACCTCACAATGACTTCTAGGTTTTTGACAAAAACCGTATAATGGAATCTAAACAAAAGTGCACTAAAATGATAGCAATCCTCCAACTAATAATCCTCATACTTGAACAATGAAAAAAAAAGATATAAAGTTAGTTACGCCCAATACCCAAGACATCAAAGACTATGAAAAGCAAACCTCAAATATTGTTGCTCCTGTGAATCGACTTAAAGCCGCAAACTCAAGGATCAAGGTACCTGCACAAGCTGTACAGGTATCTGTCTCAGTTCCAGTCCGAGCTTCTGGTTTTCTGATACCAAACTTTAAATTAATCTAAATAAAACCAGAAGATTATCATTAGCAACTATGAACAGAAAATGGCTTCTGGATAAGAGATTACTTTTCAATCAAGATTCTTCATCAAATCATCATAAAATATCTCAACACTGAAATCTGATGATCTTTGTGACTTTCCAATTTAACATCTAGAGAAGAATATTCTACATATATAATATTCATGGGGTAAGAAAGTTTTCATTGATTTCCTTCCTTAATGTGACCAAAATTCAGTACCCATATAAGAATTACATAGGGGGGGAGCCTGGGTGGCTCAGTGGGTTAAAGCCTCTGTCTTCGGCTCGGGTCATGATCCAGTGTCCTGGGATCAAGCCCCACATCGGGCTCTCTGCTCAGCAGGGAGACTGCTTCCTCTTCTCTCTCTCTCTGCCTGCCTCTCTGCCTACTTGTGATCTCTATCTGTCAAATAAATAAATAAAATCTGGGCGCCTGGGTCGCTTAGTGGGTTAAGCCTCTGCCTTCGGCTCAGGTCATGATCTCAGGGTCCTGGGATCGAGTCCCGCATCGGGCTCTCTGCTCCGCAGAGAGCCTGCTTCCTCCTCTCTCTCTCTCTCTCTCTCTGCCTGCTTGTGATCTCTCTGTCAAATAAATAAATAAAATCTTTAAAAAATAAATAAATAAATAAATAAATAAAATCTTAAAAAAAAATTACATAGGGAAAATACCTAGTTCTATAACAATTTTATTCTCTGAACAGTATGAAACTAGACTAGCTCTAAAAGAAATTAATTTGAGAATTTATGAAAAACCAGTACTATATTAGTCCTTCACAGCAAAAAAAAAAAAAAAAAAAAAAACAAAAAACTGATTAAGTTATGGTATGTATTCAAAAGGAGATTAAAATTTTGTTTACAGCTTTTAAAAGTTTTAAAATGTAGAGTATATTGCCTTGCTGACAGGCTATCAAGCAACACAAAGAAAATTTTTTCGAAGGAGTATTTTCTTAATAATTCAAAGACAGCCAAATTACATTATAAACCTAGATTAACCAAAAACAAACTGACCAGAAACTGATTAAAACTCGAATGGTTTTCTGCCGTCTAAATAAATATAAAAAAGAGCAAGCATACACCAAGGATTTCATATAACAATAAAGAAAAACATCAAATACAAATGTTTCCAGATCAGTTATTATTCAGACTCTGTAAGGAGAAGTTCAAATAAATTCATATTTCAACTTATCTGCTGGGTAAGCCTATTACCTTAACAGCGTCCAAATGACACTCTAGGAAGCAAGGAGACAGGGATAATACCCACTCACCACCAATAGACAAATAACAAAAGTGAAATGTAGGTGAGAAATGAGGAGTGGATTGTTGCACTGGCCGTTTACCTCACTTTCCAAAATGTCACTTGAGGCATACAAATGCCGTACAAATGGAACTAACAACAAATGCTAAGATCTAAAACTCAGAAGAAATATCACAGATATTGGATTGGGAGTAGCTGAGAGCTAACAATGGCAAAGTCCAGGGAAGTGGTCATAAGAAAGCAAAGGCAAGACAGAAAACATTTACATTCCCTTTTTAGTATCTCTTAACAAAAAAAAGGAAATACTTTGACACACTGAAGTTCTGTACATCAAAAATATTTAAGATGGTTGTATATTGCATTATAGTCATTACTGTCCCAAGATGGTCGGTACTAATGATATAAAAGGTTTTTTTCTTAATACAACTATCTATAGTATCATATCATTTCCATCTCCTATGCTGAAGATCCGCGTTATTAACTTCCAAATGCAAAACCTCCAGAGGGCACCACGGTTTTTATAAGACAAGGAAAAAGGGTTGAGTGCTTATGTTTTTTGCTTATGTTAATGCTCTCGTTGAGTTTTGCTCTAGAGGCTGTTGAGATAAACTGCAGTCCTCCTGACTGGATCTCAGAAGACCAGTGTAGAGAGGGCACTGGTAGAGGCATCTGTTTGGTCATGTACAAGTTAGAAACAAGGAGGTTATTGCCCTTTACTTGAAAGGCTTCAGACAAAAAGGGTTAAAAGTATAACAAAGGTTTTTTACTTAGAAGGAAATTTGGAAGCTGCTTTCTCCCTCCTCGTCCTATGTTCCTGGGAATCACAGGAATGAATGAACATTTTTTTTATTGAAAGGTAGAAGTTTAAATTACCTACACTAAATTTATCTAGGTTATATATTTGCTATACCCTAAAGACCCCTAAAGTATGTACAAAATCAAAATGGAACTGCCATTAACCCTATGTTTTATGGATATAATCATCTACCTGACCTTAGAAATGAGGTGTTTTTTTTTTTAATTTTTATTTATTTATTTATTTGACAGAGAGAGAGAGAGAGAGAGATCACATGTAGGCAGAGAGAGAGGCAGAGAGAGAGGAAGGGAAGCAGGCTCCCTGCTTAGCAGAGAGCCGGATGTGGGGCTTGATCCCAGGACCCTGGGATCATGACCTGAGCCAAAGGCAGAGGCTTTAACCCACTGAGCCACCCAGGTGCCCCTAGAAATGAGGTCTTAAATGAAAAACTGGCAAAATGCTTTTAATTAACTTTGAGGAAATGGCATCACAAAGTGTGGACTGCCTCTAGGGTTTATAGGTAGATGTAACAAATGACCATTAACCACTAAAATATAATTTCTGTCCAGCAAATTCTTGAGTTAAAAGCAATAATGCTATACTCTTAATTATGTATGCATACCTAAGAAACACTGTACACATTTTCATGAGTAAAAGCTCATAAGTCTGAAGAAGGCAATGAAGACAGTTTCTATCAGCAGTCCTCTTCTAAAAGGCATTTTTTATAATTTTCTTGACACTTCAGAGAATAAGAAAACAATACATTTTCTTTATTTTACTCTAATACTCTTAGTAGCTATTGTTTTAATTCCTCTTCTATTTCTCGTGTTATGACAAAAGTGAAGAAATGCTAGATTCCCCCAAATGTGGCACCTCCAATTATAACAAAAACTAAAAGTATTTACTAAAAGTAAATTCAAGGGGGGGGCGCGCCTGGGTGGCTCAGTGGGTTAAAGCCTCTGCCTTCGGCTCAGGTCGTGATCTCAGGGTCCTGGGATTGAGCCCCGCATCGGGCTCTCTGCTCTGCGGGGAGCCTGCTTCCTCCTCTCTCTCTGCCTGCCTCTCTGCCTACTTGTGATCTCTGTC